AGGACATGGTGGGGATGGATGGATGGAAAGAAGAAAAGCTGAAATGGAAGAGATGCCAGGCCTCATGGTGGAGAGGAGTGACTGAGAACCCAGGGAGCTGAAGTCAGACCTGGCTCTCTACTGCCCTGGAGCACGATCCAGGCAAGGCAGCTCCCCTCAAGTGTCTCACCACACTGTATGGTGAGGGAAACGCAGTAAGGAACCTCAAAGCACCACTTCCATTGATATTCTACCATTCCCTGGGCACACCAAGGCCCGAGGCCTGCACAAAGAATGGGCTACGTGGAAAGCTGGCACCAGCTGGAAAAGTGGGCCCCGGGGCTGAACTGACAGAATAAATATAATTTCTCTTCAATATGACTGTCTCCTAAGTGAAACAGGTTTAATGTGAGATGGAAAGCCAGCCATCTTTCAGAAATTCCCCCTAAAATCCCATTAAGGAGATAGCTGACTGCATTTAAAATGAGGTTCCATCTACAGAATAAGAAGCAAGGTTTTCCTGCAGAGGAAGACCTTGGATTACATACCTGAGCCTCCTTTGTCTGGGTTTTGTGACTTTTAAAGCTTCCTTCATGATCATCCTCAACTGTGGAGCTGGCATTTAAGGCTGCGATTCAAATCTAGAAATAGGGGTTTGGAGGAAGAGATAAGTTACTATCAGCTGAGATGTCACTTCTCTCTTCAACCATGTGCAGATGAATACAGTTCTGCTCCAGCACATGATCTGTTCTACCTGGAAACACTATGGCCCTATCGGAATGTTGCGAGTAAACAACAAATGATCACTGAGGGGGAAAAAAGGATTAGGACATGTTGTGGGAGGGGCCATGCCAATCTGTGCAGGGAGCATTTCCCAGATACTGCCCAAAGCAAAAGGAACAGAGGCTGGGGACACTTCAGCAACAGCTCAACACGATAGAAAACCCACCACGTATTGGAGTAACAAGAGTTCAACGAAACATGCTAACTTTGTGCCTTTCCAGCAACTGTGACAAGGCCCTGTAAGCCACTTCAACTGCAGGTCAAGCATTCACACCCTCAAAAGTGCCAACAGCCCTCCTGGGAAGAAGGCTGCTCCATAATGAGAGCCTTCAGAGTCTACCAGGGAAATGCCCCTCACCCCTAGGAGTAAAGTAACGAAAGAACACCAGCACGATAGGCGGGCATCCATCCTTACCATATTCAGAGGGGTTCGGCACTGCCGCGCAGCATCACTCCTACTACAGGCAGTGGCTGCACCAGTCCACAAATCTAGAGAGGAAACAGGAAAGACTGAGACAGGGCCCACGAAGAGCCAGGAGTGTCACAGTGCCAGGGGCCCCCTGAGGACCAGTCCCTCCCTGGGCTCTGTGCACACAGGCTGGTTAATAGCTGCCTTGGAACAGTGGTGTGGTCTGTCACACAGGGAACCCCTTGGTCCCTCACCAGAGCATCTACCATTGTGGGCAAGGCACCAGGTGCCAGGCACACACAAGAGTGAGAACAACTCCTGCCCCCAGGGTTCACTGCTCAGCAGAGTTAACAGGCCTATAAACAGTTATTTTTTTTTTCTTTTACAAAAGCTGAATAATATCAAGAGAAACACAGGCAGTATCTAAGGGCAGAGAACAATTCATTCAAAGGGATTACGGAAGGCGAAGGAGCAAGCCCTTGCATCAAGCCTTGAGGAATG